CGGGGCGGGGCGGCCGCGCTGCGGTTAGCGACGAGCGCGGAGCGCCTCGAGCTGAGAACTGTAACCCAGAGCTCTGCGGGCAGGACACGGCAGGGCGGCTGGTGTCGTGTCTGCTCGGGCTCCCGCTCTTGATTTGTGCCGATTCCCGATATTTCAATTTATGCATTGTGATGACAAAAAGTGCAGTAATACGTTAAAATCTATAACTTAGGTAGTTTGTAAAGGATTAATCCTTTGCTTGCTTCAAATCTGAACAGGAATCTCCACACAAATGCCCCACATGTGGAAGAACCTTTAATCAAAGAAGTAATCTGAAAACTCACCTTCTTACCCATACAGACATCAAGCCCTACAACTGTGAGCAGTGCGGCAAAGTGTTCAGGCGAAACTGTGATCTACGGCGGCACAGTCTAACTCACACTCCGCGGCAGGACTTCTAGAGCAGCCAGGGACCTGCACCCGCTTCTGCAGCTCCAAGTTGCTAATTTTGCTCAAGGACTCTATTGTAGAAACTCACAGACATGCGTGCGTACACACACACACACACACACACACACAGAGGCAGACTCAGGGGCCAATCTTTCCTACCACACGTCTGCAAAACTCCTTTAGAGAGTGTGGACTGCAGGATCGGGCCCCTCTCCAATCCGCACCGAGAGCGTAAAGCTAGTTTTGTAGATACTCGCAGCTCATTTTAGAGCTCTGTACAGAATGTGGTTTTCTTTGTTTGTTTGTTTCGTATTGTCATGTCAGATGCACATTGATAACAAATCTGGGAGTCAAAGTATCTCTTAAAATTGTATTTCAAAATAAATCTTTTTTTTGTTTTCCAAATACCTCCTGCCTTGTTGTATTATTCTCTGAACATCTGGGCGCTTTTTTTCCTGCTGTGTCAATGCAATGCTAAAGCATATTGAATAAATTTCCTAGCCGGGTAATTGTACTGTCACAACAATTTCGGTGATCGCTTTTGTTTGGCCTGTTCCACTGTTGCTTTTGTGTTATCTATTGTTAAGTAAAATGAAAGTGTCCGTATTTGAGCGTTTATAGCTCTATTACTTAATAGTATGAATGTCTAAATATTAACTTCTGTATTTTTGTTATTTTCCCGAACGAAATACTTTTTAAAAAGAAGAGAAAGAAAGAAATATTTGCAAATAAACAGATCTTAGGAAATAATGTATAGAGCCGTTCTTAAGCCGAAGCGGCTTATTAGTAACTTATTTGCAATCAGCCCATATATTGTAAAAGTCATCCCTTTCGTGGAGATTGCATTAGATAGTCTCCTGCCATTAGACTTTGAAC